CCACTTGTTAGTTGTGTGACCCTAGGTAAGTCACTTAACCTCTTTCAGTTTCACTTTCCTCTTCTGAAAAATGGGAATTAAAAAATAATATGTAACATAGAAAGAGTTGAATTTTAAGATCTTGTGTCTAAGATATCTTTGATCTATTCCGCCATACTCCTCCACCCCCTCCCCATCCAAGGTTCATAGCACCATACAGTTGTGAAGATCAAATAAAATAATATTCATTAAGCACGTTGCAAACCTTGAAGTACTATATCAGTGTTAGCTATTTTTATTAATGCTAGCCAACCACTGGAGATGGGCAGCTAGGTGGCTGTGGATAGAGTGCCAGGTCCAGAGTCAGAAAGTCTCATCTTTGTGAGTTCAAATCTGGCCTCAGACACTTACTAGCTGTGTGATGCAGGCCAAGTCACTTAAATATGTTTGCCTCAGTACCTCATCCATAAAATGAGCTGGAGAAGGAAATGATAAACCACTCCATTCTCTTTGCCAAGAAAACCCCAAATGGAGTCACAAAGAGTCAGACACATTGACAACAACAATAACAAACAGCTGGGGAATGACTCTAAGTGGAAGATGCTTAACTAATCACTGTAGATGGATGAAGGTCCAGGTCCTACTTCTGCCTGGAGGTAAGACATTCTAGTCTTAGAAGTTCCTGGTCTAGAAGCCATAATGTAGCAATAATGAATAACAGCGGATACCATAAACCTATAACCTCCTAAGCATGTCAACATAAAGAAATGATAAGACAAAGGAAATTGTTTTCACAATGCTGAAGGAAGGCAAACCCAGGGATGGGGAATATTGAAAGAAGATGAATAGGTTGAATAAAATTACAATAGTTAACTAAAATTAAGAATCTTTCATAGACTCACGTGAAGGGAACTAGAAGGGACCTTGGAAATTACTTAGTCCAACTGCCTGACTTTAAAGATGTATTTACACATAGTATAGAAAATTTTGAATTAAGAAATTATATACATTTGTACATATTTGTACAAATTACTCACAATTTGGGATTCAGGTGCTCCTAGAATTATCAGAGGCTGGTGAGGCTGTCAGGCTTTAAGGAACATGGGTAGTAAGTATACTTATATACACATATGCATTTCTAAGTCAGATATTTGTTGTTATTATTCAGTCATTTTGAAATCTTCCAAATTACTTCAATTCAGCTCCCTTTTATATATTGTCTTTGCTGTTAAAATATAAACTCCTTAAGCACAGGGATTGTTTTTCTTTTTTGCTTTTATTTGTATCCCTAGCACTTAGCAGAATTCCTAGCAATATGCAGCCAGCTGATGCAGTGGATAGGGTGTTGGCCTTGGACTCAGGAAGACCTGAGTTCCAATGTGGCCTCAAATAATTACTAGCTGTATGACCGTGTCAAATCACTTTACTTCTGTCTGCCTCCATTTATTTCCCCACCTATGAAATGGGGATAATAATACAATCTATCTCCCAGGGTAGATTTCGAGGACAAACTGAGATGATATTTGGAAAGTGCTTTGCAAACCTTAATGCACTATATAAATGCTCATCAACCCATGGCTAAAGCAGAGGTTTTAGCATTGGGGCAGGGAAACTTATAATTTGTCAAGGAGATATCATCATCAATACCGGAACAAAGAACTCCATACAAGGATCCAGGAAAATGCCTGGGCTGTCTCCCTATATGTATATGTGCAGAAATTCTAGCCTAGCAACTGCAAACTCTTCCTGACAAGCTCTTCCAGCCTCATTATTCAAATGGAACTATTCTCTTCCCAAAAAGTCTCTACTGAAGAGCTCTTACTTACCAAATTTAATGTTTTTTCTCCAGTTGGCACTCTTCTTGACCTTTCTGCAGCATTTCACATGACTGACCACTTTTACTCCTGAATGCCACCTCTTCTCTGCATTTTCTTCTCCTACCTGTGTGAATGCTCCTTTGGAGTCTCATTTGCAGGAACATCTTCCCCTCTCACATAGGCTAACTGGGGGTGTCCTGCAAGGTTCTATCCTAGGTCCAATTCATTTTTCTCTCTATTCTCTTGCTGGGCAATCTGATCAACTGTAATGGGCTCACTTATCAAATAATTCTCAAAGCTATTTAGCCTAGACTCCTAGTCTCATATCACCAACTGCTTATTGAATATTTTAAAGTAGATGTCCTCCATTTGTCCATTTCTCTGTACACATAGCCACCACCTACTAGTTCAGTTCTTCATCATTTCTCACCTAGATTATTGCAATGGAAACCTACCTCAAGGCTCTTTCTACTCCAAACCATCATCACATTGCTGCCAAAGTGATTTTTTCTAAAGCATAAGTCTGACCAAGTCATCTTGCATATTCAATAAATGCCAATGCTTCCCTGTCACCTCTATGATTTAATATAAACTCCTATTTGTCACTTAAAGCCCTTCACAACCTGGTTCCTTCCAATCTTTACAGGCTTTTAATATTAATATGCTTTTCCGGCAAGACTGATTAACTGCCTCTGAAGAAGCACAAATTACTAGAGACCCTGGGATATGTATTTCTTCCAAGGCAAGAATTGAGAACTTTATGTCCAGGTCAGGACTTGAGATTGGGTCTTCAAGTATAACAAACATTTAAAAATTGCTCTGGAGAGGGATAAGAGGAAAGCTGAAGAGAGAAAATGGGGAGCAGGGAGCGGCTGCAGCAGCAGATAGATGGAGGACTCTTCTTCCCAGGAGACTTGGAAGCCTCTAAGTGTCTGAAGCCTTTTTCTTTTCCTGGCTAACAGCACTAGCTACCTTTATGAAGAGAATCCAGAGGAGAGAACTCAATTCTGGCTTTTTGGAAAAGTCTCTGGGACAAAGCTAAAGCTACTACATTGTTTTCCTATTAATAGCCTGAAACAATGGGTGACAAGGTTAATCACTAAGGGTTTTTTTTTAATATTTGAAAGTTTTACATTTACTTTTTCTAAAAATGGTTCAATTAAGATAATTTTAGTGACATCTGGAGTTTGGGTTTTGCTATTTAAAGTCTGAAACAGAGAGAAGGAAAACTGGTGGATAGATTCAACTGGCTGGGAGATCACCAACCTCTTTAGGCAATCAACAGAATCCCTGGGGGGCTCAAAGCACCTTATGAATTACATTTGCAATTTGCATTTTATTTTATTTTTTTAAGCTATGCAGAAAAAAGAAAGTCACATGGAACTGGGACCTTCACTCTTGGACTAAAATCCTCTAGAATTACTCTCAACCAAGAAGACTTTGTTCTCCCAACTTTGTTTTGTTTTGTGTCCTCCACCCACTAGGGAAAGAGGAAGGAGAATAGAGATCTCAAGAGGTCATGCCCTCAACTAGCCACAATAACCCCTACCCTGACCCTTTCCCCTCTTCATTTCAGCTTCCATTTGTACACCGTCTTCACCAATTTGATTAAGGGCTGGTACAGTCTTTGTTTTTATTTGTATGCCCCAGAGCTAACACAAGTGCTTGGCACTCAGTAGGAGCTTAATAAAAGTTTATTGACTGACTGAATACTTCCCCTCTACATACTCTGTGGTATTGTTGCTTACAAAGGACACTCTTACCTTCTCTGTACCTTTACGGCTGTCTCAGGTGTCTGTCATGCTTTTCCTCCTTTACTCTGCCTTGTTGAGCCACCTCCTATAGGAGGCCTTTCTGTTCCATTAGGTACCTCTTAGCTTGCCCCTCTATCTATTCTATATTTATCTTCTAGATATGATTTATGTATATATTGTCTCTCTACCAGTGCAAGGACTGTTTTTAAATTTTTCTTCATATTTTCAATGTTTAACACAGTGCCTGACAGTCTCTCAATAAGCATTATTTAGTGCTTACTAATAAGTACTTATTTAATGACTAATTGACAAGCGCCTTGCAGATTTTCATGACAGTTGGGACAGGTGATATAGAGGAAAGAGTTAGAGGACCTAGTTTCAAATTCTATCTCTGCAATTTCCTATTTGTACAGTCTTGGGATCTTAACGACTTCTTTCACTTCAAAATTCTACTGTCCCCGTTACCAGGAAAAATAAATACAACCTCTTTTTACACAACGAACGCAAGAATGCAAAAGAAAACAACATGGGAAGACATGAAAACTGATCAGTGCAGGGTCCCATATCGACTTCAGAGCACTGGACATGAAGCGTATGTTTCTCCTTTCTGCAGAAAAGGGGGTAGCCCACAGGTAAGATATGACATGGCCAATGTATTAGTTAGTTTTCTTCTTTGGTACCAGGGAGAACTGGGCAAAAGAGTTCATTGTTAAGTGGCAGTGCTGTAAAGCTATAAAAAAAGAAAAACCCTGAGATTTGGAGTGGTGAGCAGGGGTTCCAACAGCACCTCTGTCATTTTTGATCTTTGGCAAGTTACTTAACCATTGGACCTCAATTTCTTCATCCTATAAAATGAACTGTTCTTCTATATATATATATATATATATGTATGTATACACACACACACACACAATGTATATAGAGATGTAATACCTATATATGTAATAAAGGAAATACAGCCTCTCCATATGTGTGAAAAAATTTTCCTGTTACTTTTCCAGAAGCCATTACTTCTAACATCTCCTGGCATTATTCAGACTTATCAACTGGCCAGTTTTAAACTCTAGCCAATTTCCTTCCTTCCCAAACTAAACAAGTACAACTTAACAAGAAAGAAGATAAGATCCACTAGTTTTCTCTAACTACAAATCAAAAAATAGGAAGGTTTCTCCAGTAAATTTAAAAATAAAATACAACCAAAAACAAATTCTTCACATTTCACTTTCCCTCCATCCTGCAAACAACCAGTTTCTGGATTGCCCAGTAGAAAGCCAGATGCTCCACTCCAAAGGGACTCAAACCAGCAGAGCTTCCTCATCCTGCCCTGAAGGGTACCACAGACAGAGAGCTCTGGAGAGCTGCGGGTACAGAGCCAAGTCTGTCCGCAGAAAGATATTTGGAGTAGTGTAGATCCTATAGGAGAAAAGCAGTGGTAACCTATACGACTTACAGCCCAGGGCTACCCCCAGGTAGCTCAGCAGCAGGAGGAGAAAGCGGTGGCGGCTCCTTCTCGCCATCTTCCAGAGAACAGCTCTTTTCTCCTCCGGATCAGCGTAGAGGCTGGACGTAGGAGAATCTCAGCAGCTCAAAGAAGATGGAGGAGGAGGAGGGGAAGGAAGGGTGAGGGGGAGGAGAAGGGTGTGGGGAAAGACTTTAGCCCTCGTAGGCTTTTTTTTTTTAAAGTAAATTACTAGAGGCGGGTTCTTTCCTGTAGCCCTAGGTCTGTGGGACCGTTTCCCCTTTTCTGAACCACATTCAGAGTCTGGAAGGGCAGGGGAGGTGCTGATGGGGGTGGAAGAAGACGTCCGCAGTCAGTCACTAAAAAGAGAACCAGACGCATTCGAGTAGCTGCAAGGAAAAGACCTGGAGCACTTGGCTGTCTGGCCTGGTGTCAAGCATTGTAAGCGCAGTCAGCTGTCCCGGGGGCGGAGAAGTCACAGAGAGAGGGCAAGGAGGCTGTTAGCAGAGGAAGGGAATTTCCTCAGTTAGAACCTTTTTCTTTGACAGTGGATAAAATTTTCCACTTCAGAATCCAGCCCGGAGAGGAAGGTTTGGGGGAAATATCGGTGCAGCTGCCAGGGTTTGGGTTTTTTTTCCCCCCTCCCCTTTCCTTTTTGTTCTAGTGTCAGAAGAGATGTGAAGCAGTCCTTGGAAGGCAGGAAAACCTGTATTCAAGCACGGCTTTCTGGCATCTACATCAAGCATTGTGTGACCTTGAGCAAAAATCTGCTTCATCTTCTAGTGCTCTAGCAATTTTCTAATATTATAAATTGCCAGCCTCATTGACTGAAGGAATTCCCTCTATCAAAGAAATCTCATATGGAGTCCAAAGTGATTCTTTGCTCATTTCAGACGGAAAAATAAGGCAATAAAATAGGGGATGCTGATTTTTTTTCTCGTTGGTGTGATTATTTCTCAGGCAGTAATATTCCCACTTTCCACATTCAATGGGGTTAGTTTTCTCTAAGAGCAGTTTGAACTTCGGATCTTTAGTTATTCAGACTTCAGTGTTTGACACTATGTATGTGCAAAGCTAATCTTTGTACATACAGTGTCAAGCATTTATCATATTCCAGTTAAGTATATGCAGTTTTATTAAAATTTAAAATTATTACTGTTGCCCTTTGTCAAAGATTTGGCTTGACATTGTATTTTTAAAAGGAAACCCTTTCCAAATGTAATTGTATGTTTTAAAATATATGCAAATCCATACTTTGTACTATTGATCTTGTTTTTTTCTCTCAGAACCAACGTATAAAAAAAAGGTAAGTTCTTAGGAGGATAGAGCCTGAAAGGCTAGTATTTTATGTCTTTTTAATTTGCTTTTTATTTTGGGGGTTAATTATGAACACAAGGACCAAATACTCAAATATACAAGCAAGAACAAAACAAATAATTTCATAATAAAATGTGCAATTCATTTAGTTTGTTTTTAAGTCTATATTAATTTTTAATAAATCCATCCTTCTTATTTCTATGTCCCTTTTGAAAATCTTCCCTCCACATTTATTGTCATTATTATTTAGAGAGTAACAGTGTGAATATAACTTTAAACTTTTCTTTCTTTACTGTGCATCATTCCATGTTTTGCTGTATTTCTTTGTATACTTCATATTTTTATTTTATTGGTACAATCATAGTACATTTTACATTCACTTGGCACAATTTGTTCAGTCATTCTCTAATAAGATATATTATTTTCAAGGTTCTTGGCAATAAAGTTGCAATTGTTTAAATGGGGGATGGGGTTGAAGGGCAGAGGCATGGTTAAAGACTTTTAATTTGGTAAAAGTAGACTAGGTTAAGTAGCTGACATAGCAAAATCCAACTGGTTCACTGGGCAACAGGCCGTTCGCCATGAAATACAAGACTTCCTGATGTTTTGTTAAATGTGTGTGAGAGACTCAGTGCATATTAATGAGAAGAAGCAATTGATGAAAGGAGCAATGGAAGAGGGGCGCCAGGAGAAAAGAAAGCAGAAAGAAAACATAGGAGAACAGAAGAATGAAATACAAAAATTGTCATAAAATCTTTTTTTTCTGGTGAAGGGCAGTTTAGTGAAGCACGGAGATCTTCAAGGTTAAGATTTCTTGAAATATTAATAAGAACACTTTTTCATAAAAGTCAAAGCTGGTCATGTTAGTTCAATACTTTCATTTACCAGATGAGGAAATTGAGACCACAAAACTTGTCAAAGATCACTTAGGTATTAAGTAGCAAGCCAGGATGTGAGCCCCAAATCTAGGCATTTTCTGCTGCAACTATGCTTCCTTTAGATTCCCATTTTAATATTGCTGCCACCAGCTCATTTCTCATCCACTTTTCCCTCGGTCAACTCTAAGCAGTATTAAATCTTATTTCATACTTTGATTTTAATTACTAGTTATGGAGCAAACTGTCTGTATATATGTACATGTGTGCATGTGTACATACACATATATACATATATGTGTGTATACACACACACACATGTGTGTGTAGTTAAGGAAGAGAAATTGAACAACTGAGCAGTGATTTGACACAATATATAGGAAGCTAGCCTGAGAGGTAGAACTTGAATACACGTCTTTTAGCCTAGTAGGGGAACCTCTGGGTCAAAGGGAATGGACATATTAGTTATTTCATTTCTAAGGGAGTTATGCTAATGGACAATTTTACCAAGACATCTCCAGTGTTCCTGTATTTGTACAAGTCTTCCTGTGTAGACTATTCCCATCTTTTGTCATTTTTGGCAATTTACAGAGTGTAAGGTAAAACCTTGGAGTTGTTTTGATTTTCATTTTTCTCATTATTATTGATTTGGAGCATTCCTTCATATTGTGGGTTGTTAATAGTTTATAATTCTTTTGAGAAGTGCTTGCTCATATCCTTTGGCCTCTTGTCTACTTGAGAACACATATCTTGTGAAAGGTTTATGATCTGCTTCTGTTCTAATTTTTTTTTTGTTGAAATCTTTAATATTAATGTCACAAAGACTTGATGAATCATTTCTTGGCTAAATTACTATAATCTATTTTCAGGATTTTATTTAAAAGTTTTGGAGATTATATAGTATTGGTACTAATTATTATTTTTTAAATTTTTCACATTAGTTATGCTCTTAAAAAAAGAGGCAAGAAAAATGAAGGAAAAAATTATACTTCAATCTGTACTTAGTCTATCAGTTCTCTAAATGGAGTTGGACAGCATGTTACTACATGAGTCCTTTAGAACTGTGGTGAATTGAATTGAGGTATCTTGTTGGGGCCTAGCCAAGATGGCAGAGTAAGGCAGCACCTCACCTGAACTTTCCCAAATTCACCTCCAAATAAATTCTAGAGTGGCAGAACCAACAAAAGGACGGGGAGAAACAATTTTCCAGCCCAAGGTAACTTAGAAGGTTGTCAGAAAAGGTCTGTCTCACTCGGGCAAAAAGCAGAGCACAGGCAGTGTCCGGGCAAGTCAACAGCAAGACACCATGCCCCTGGTGCAGGCCAGCAGCAAAGTCTCGTCCCCCCCACCATCATTTGATTCCCCCCCCCCTCCATGCAAGAATCTTGAGACAGTCCTCCCTCCACTCCAGGAGCAGAACCCAACTTTAACATAAAGTTAAAAGTCACAAAATAGGCTGGAAAAATGATCGACGAACAAAAGTTACAATTGTCAAAGGGAAGAGCAAACACGAAGTCAGAAGAGGACAACAATGTCAAAAAGGCTACACGTGAAGCCTCAAGGAAAAACGTGTATTGGTCTCAGGCCCAAAAAGAACTCCCGAAAGAGCTCAAAATGGATTTTAAAAATCAAAGTGCGGTAGAATTGGGGGAAAAATGAGAGTGATGCAAGAAAATCATGGAAAAAAGAGTCAATAGGTTGCCAAAGGAAGCACAAAAAATAGAAAAAGATGTATGAAAATTCACTGACAAAAACAGCTCCCTAAAAAGTAGAATTGGCCAATGGAAAAGGAGGTACAAAAGCTTATTGGAGTTTTAGTCGATCAGTGTTTTGATCTGTTACTAAATCTTTCACAGTTGGTTATCTTTCTAATACTGTTGTTACTGTGTAGACTGTTCTCCTGGTTCTACTCATTTCACTATACATCAGTTCATATAAGTCTTCCCATGTTTCCTGAAGCCATGCCCTTCATTATTATTTTTTTTAAGGCAATTTGGGTCACATAGCTAGTAAGTATCCACCTAGCTTCCTCCCTTCATTATTTCTTACAGCACAACAGTATACCATCACATTTCATATAGTAGAAATTGTTCAGCCATTCCCCAATTGATGAACATCCTCTTAGTTCCCAATTCTTTGCTGCCACAAGAAGATCTGCTATAAATATTTTATTGTACAAATGGTTCCTTTTCCTTTTATTTGTGTGTGAATGGGGAAAAGAACTATTTAACTTTTTAAAAACTGCTGGCTTGGTCAAATAACTAACAAGACGGAGGATTAGACATATTCTCCAGTTCTTATGACCTCTCCAAAATAAGAATCATGCACAACAGATAAAACAACTTTAGCTATCTCCAAGGTCTAAGACACCAAAACCCAACAAAGTACAAATCAGTGCATTAATAACAGAAAATGCTAATCCCTAATTGCTAAAGTGATCATTCAGCCTAGTCACCATATTCTAGTACGGGTTCACAAGCCTACCCAATGACCTGCAGGCTTGAAAGAGAACTGAACTCTATCTCACCTCCCAGTCCCAATGGAAAAGCAAAAGCCAGAAGCCTGCTCTGCCCAAGACAGCAGCATGAAATATACATTAACAAAGAAGAAAAAGAGAGAACTATTGTACAGAATATGCATTTTAAAAAATTAGAAAGCCAACAAATAAATAAACATAAAATAAACACAAAAGAGGAAATATAAGGTTAGAGGTAAAATAGAATTTAACTAGAAACCAAAAAAACTATAGAAATGATCAATAAAACTGAGGTCCAATTCTTTGAAGAAACTAATAAAATTTACAAGCCATTACCCACCCAATTAAAAAGAAGAGAGCAGAAAGCCAAATCAGAAAAATAACAAATGAAATGGTGAAGTCACAACAAAATCAGAAGAAATAAAAAGTTATCAGAACCTACTGTGCACAATTCTATGCTAACAAAACTGAGAACACAAAAGAAATGTAATTAAAAATATAAATGGAAGAATACTTTAAAAATATAAAATATTTGAACTAACAGAAGACCGAATAGAGAGCTTACATTATCCAAACTCAGAAAAGGAAACAGAAATAGTTCTAAAGGGCCAACAAAAACAACAAAATCTGATCCTAAAGATTTCAGAAGAGAAATCTAACAAATAAAAAAAAAGCTAGGGCAGGTAGGCGGTGCAGTGGATACAGCACTAGCCCTAGAGTCAGGAGGACCTGAGTTCAAGTCTGGCCTCAGACACTTAACACTTACTAGCTGTGTGACCCTAGGCAAGGCACTTAATCCTAATTGCCTCACCAAAAATAAAAAGCCTATTAGTGGAGATGGGCAATTTATATTTTTGTAAATATTAATCCACTTTGCTTACGTGGGCAGTTTTATTGCCATAAAACTGGACAAAATAAGTCCTAAAATTTGCTTTAATTTCATCTTCATTAGTTGTGCCACCCTTTCCAATTTTTGATATTGGTAATTTGGCTTTCTTCTTTCTTTTTTTAAAAGTCAAATTAATCATTACTTATTTTTTTCATAAAATCAGGTCCTAATTTTATTTATCACTTCATTTTTTTAAACTTTCAATTTTATTAAATATCTTCTTTGATTTTCAGGATTTCTATTTTGGTGTTTAATTAGGGAATTGATATTTGTTATACACACACACGTACATATGTACACATACATATTAGTTACATGCCCAATTCATTAATTTGCTTTTTTTTCTTTTATTGATGTATATGTTTGGAGAT